AAAAGACAAGATTAATAAAAAAGATCCGCCATGTTTGGAAATGCGCAGGCGCTTATTTGTTAGATTAAGAGTCAGCCATCTGCTCTGGAAGGGCTGACAGAAAAGCTCCTTGCAGCTTCATAACTAGTTTCCAAGGAAAAAATCTTATACGCTCAAGAAAAATTCTAAATTTTCTTTGAAATAGTAAAAGTCTTTTCCATGTGTTCCCTCCAAGAAATTATCAGACTTACGACAAACAACAAAAAAGGGTTGCACCTGAGAGAAAAGCTGACCATTAGCTTTTATGCGAGGCACATACTTTTTAGTGCATGTGTATTCTGTTTAACTGTCCTACTCTACCTTCGGTTTTCATGTCACAATGAACCAACACAGGAGTGTCAGGTTTGATGAAATTCAGCCAGTATTTTCCGCTGACCGCTTGTCCACCTTCACTCGCCTTGATCTCCTTACACGAGTCTGCAGACAGCTCTGGAATGGCACCAAGAATAGCTAGAAAGTAAGAAAATGAGAAAGTGAAGAAAAAATGCGATATCTCCCTCTCTAAAACAGTTAGCTAAATCATTTTGCCTTAACGCTCACCTCTCTTCATATCTCGTCTGAAGTAATATCTCTCAGAGTCGGGTACAAAATCTTCAGGCCTGGCTTCCTTTGTGCGGTTACTCAGCTCACACTTGTCTTGTGTGAACACATAGTTAAAGCTTTGGCATCTGACGTCACAATAACATTCCCGCAAACACACATCACCGAATGCAGCTCCAGTGATTGTTTTAAAAATGTGTTTTTGAAGCATCTTACCAAAAATGGAGACTTCGCGTGTATCACGGTGGTACTGAGCAACAACTGAGCGAGACAATACCAACATGAAGAGGAAAACTGGTAAATGAAAGAACTCTTGGACTCCCATTGTAGTTATATAATTTCACCTGAAATGAAATCATAAAGTTTGAGAGCATAGTGATATATGGCGCTAGTCGACAAGACACGGAAACTAAAACAGTCCAACTGCGCGTTCGTCTATGGTTTAAGCAAAGGTTTTACTTATTTTTATCCAATAAGAAGTCAAATCTTTTTTAATGCAATTCCTCGAAGGCAGAAACAGTTTTTACTAGGTACAGCGAACGGTCGTAGTCCCGGTGTTATGAAGTAACAGAATCCTTTAACAGTTGGCACACAGTTCGCCGCCCCTGACAACGCGTATTAAAAATTTCCCATAATGATATCTTTGGTTTAGCTCTGTCCTATCATGATGATAACAGAAGCTATTTCTCCTATGCTATGAACTTGCCTGAGTGTCTTCCTTCACTTTTCAAAATCGACAAAGAGACTCTTGGAAACAAATTGACTTCAAATGGAATTTGACTTGTATTGAAAGAGGACGTTCACAGACCACAACATGCTTAAGTGATAAAACTATAAAACACGATGCTCTTTTTAAAACTTCTTTTAATACCACCTGCAGACTTTCTTTGAAAACATTTTGGCTGAGATTCACGCAGAATTTCTGTTTTCTTTGAAATTCAATGCAAGCAAATGGCAACGAAACTCTTAGTTTTATCTAAAAAAAAAACTTTTTTAGAATTCTTTAGCTTTCCAAAATTCGTTTCCTATTATCGTTTGTTTGACGCAGTTACAATATTGTTCTTGTTACGAATAGGTCAGAACTGTAAACGTAGCACAGTGATACAAATATGTGGCCGTCCACAGAAAAACACTGGAATACGGCACTTATCGTTTGGCACTTATCGTTTGGCTGATTTTCAAGCAGTATGACATATCGCAGACACGCATGACGAGCGATATGTCATGCATGCCACAAATTCAAAGCTTAGCGTAAAAAAGCAAGAGTGAGATATGGCACAAGTCGAAAAGACACGGATACTAAAACAATCCCATTGCACGTTCGTCTAAAGCTTAATCAAAAGTTTCACTTGTTTTTTTTTCCAATAAGAAGTTGTCAAGGCTTTTTGAATGCAATTCCTCAAAGGCAGAAACAGTTTTTACCAAGTACAGCGAACGGTCGTCGTCCCGATGCATGCAAAAAGAAAAACATCTAATAAATATATAGTAACAGACTCCTTTAAGACCCATCCCCTAACGTATTAGCGGCTCATTCTGCTGATCCAAACATTCACGCTATTCTTTTAAAATAGCACACAGTTCGCCGCCCCTGACAACGTGTATTAAAAATTTCCCAAAATGATATCTTTGGTTTAGCTCTATCCTATCATGATGATAACAGAACCATAAGGTACTTCTCTTATGCTATGAACTTGCGTGAGTGAGTGTCGCAGTCTTCCTTCACTTTTCGAAATCGATAAAGAGACCTATGGAAGTAAATTGACTTTAAAGTGAACTTGAATTGTATTGAGAGAGGAACTATGAAACACGATGCTCTTTTTGAAACTTAATTTAATGCCACCTGCAGACTTCCTTTGAAAACATTTTGGCTGAGATCCACGCAGAATTTCCGTTTTCTTGGAAATTCAGAATACGACATCGTTGTTATAATGAAAGGAAATGGTAACGAAACTCTTCGTTTTATCTAATAAAAACATTTTTTCAGAATTCTTTGGCTTTTCAAAACTCATTTCTTATTATCGTTCGTTTGACGCAGCTATAATATTGTTCTTGTTAGGAGTAGGGCAGAACTGGGAACGTGTTTTTCGCTAGATGGTGACATTAAGGCTGAATACATTTTAGTCCTTACGTCATGAACGAAAGCTAAATAATTTCCCGTCCAAACCGACCTAAAAAGTATTTTATAGTATGATTGCTGCTCTTTCTCTTGATTCATCATACTTGTTTATGCGCTTTGACCCCCTATGTTCATTTTTATATGAAAATGTGGGATTTCAAATAATTTTTCTGTCTCTAAATTTGGATCTGTTTTTTTCACTTTGACAAGATGCACTTCTTTGCAATCACTTTTGTTGAGAGTTCTGTCTTTATCGTATAGATTTTTTTTCTTGCTCTTCAGTGCAGTCTCTGCTGAGACCTAAAAACCATGGCTGATCTCAGAAAGGAGCGAGTTTAAGAGATAAGTGAAGTTTTCATCATTATAGTCCAACATTATCAAACCAGCGGGTGCCGGTGAAGCTTATTAGCATCCTAATTAGAGTTGAAATTTTGAGAGCACAGTGACACAAATAGGTGACCGTCTACAGAAAAACAGGGAATACGATAACTGCAGAGCCACTTAATGTTTGGCTTTGTTCCAAGTAGTATGACATATCGCACACACATGATTAGCGATATCCCACGCATACGACAAAGTTAAAGCTTTTTGTGAGAAGGCACGCATGGGATATGGCACGGGTCGATCAGACACGAAAATAGGAGTGTAAAAGCTTCTTAAATGCAATTCCTCAACGGCAGAAACAGTTTTTACTAAGTACAAAAAACGGTCGTCGTCCCAATACATGCAAACTGGAAATAGACATCTAAATGATACAGTAACTGAATTCTTTATGACACATTCTCTAATGTATTAGCAAATCTTTCTGCTGATCCAAACATTCACGCTATACTTTTAAAATAGCACACAGTTCGCTGCCCCTGACAACGCTTATTGAAATTTACCAGAATGATATTGTTAGTTTAGCTCTATGCTATCATGATGACAACAGAACCATAAGATACTTATCCTATGCTATGAACTTGCCTGAGTGAGTATAGCAGTCTTCCTTTCCTTTTCAAGATCGAAAAACTGGTCGTTGGGAGAGAAATAATTTGAAACTTAGCCCGCGTTGAAATTGGATTTTTATAATGGCCAGAACGTGCGCAAGTGGTGTCACTATGAAACAGGATGCTTTATCTCAAAAGTTTTAATGCCACCAGCTGACTTTCTGTGACCTGTTTTGGCCGAAAGTCAAAACATGATATCGTTGTTATAATGTAAATAAACGGCAGCGAAACTCTTAGTTATATATATTTTGAGAAAATATCTCGGACAAAGTCGGACTTTCAAAATTCATCTTTCATTATGATACATGTTTTGGTTTTCTTTTTTATTCTTACTCTTCAGTGATGGGACCTAAAAATCGTGGCTCGTGACAAAACGGAGCGTGTTCAAGAGTAAAGTCAAGCGTGAGCTAGTGTATAGTCCAACATTATTAAAGTAGCAGGTGCAAAACTTCTCTCGTATGAATAATTTAACAAAAGGAGGTTCTGACATCAGCGAATCATTTTTTGAAAGAAATATCGGGCACGAGAGCTTCACTTTTTCATGACAGAGCCGTGAGTTAAATGAGGCTTAAAGTATTTAGTTCATTAATACATTGCTAAACTGGCATCTTGAGATAATTTGACTTGGCTTCCTGAAGAAAGCCTTTGTGGTCAGCTGCATAACAAAGGACAAACTAATTAAAAACCATCCAAGATGTGGCCATAGGTTCGACTTCTCGCAGCCTGCTTGTGATACATATTAAATAAAATTAATCTTTTAAAAAGGACCTTAGTACTCACTCAAGAGTGTTCCTCATAACTGACAACTTGCGGTCATTATCACTTTTTCTGTTGTGTGAGTCGAGTTTGAGTCAGCTGAATCAAACGCAAACTACTGCCTAACTTTCAGTGGCGATAGCCAAGTCCAAAATATCTGTATAACTGCAATAAAACTGCAAGGCTTGTGAGAATTCTCCTCTCAGAAAGATATCCAACCTGGTTATGTTTTGAGGCACGACCAGCCGTTTACTTCTGGCATATGATGTGGGAAGTTGACTTTCATGCAAATTAATGATGGGATAAGTTTCTATAGAAACTGTTGTGCTTCGTCGGTAGGAGATGTAACAGGGTAATTTAGTATAATCAACTGAGTTGATAACGTAAATTGGCGACCGTCAAGAGTTTAAAGGCTTTAAAGGCTGATGCTCCGAGCGTTAGCCCTTCGTCAAGAGCTTCGTTAGCAATTCGTCTGAGCGATTCCTATCACGTCAGCCTTAAAGTCAACGATCAAAGAACACAGCTGCAGGCGTATCCAGTATACCTTATAAAGAAGGATTGCCGCATACACGATCGATTCAAATCGTATACAACTGTGTTCATCACGATTAATAACTGCCACCTATTTACAACAAATTTGTTACGTTTAAACACGCGCATAATAGTTCACAATAATTTTCCAACTTGCTGTTTCCTATTTTATTTGCATGTAGGTTGTTAAAAATAGTAGCTAAAAGCTGATGTGGACCTACCAACTAATATCTATTAATTAAGTAAAAGATAACATTTACAAACTAAATAAGCTATTTAAAATATACTATACAAAGTAAGGAAAAAACAGAAGTTTCCATGAATATAGTTTGCAGTGTCTTTGTTTGTTCCCTGACAATGTTATCGACCGCCTGTTTTAGACTACCCCAGGATTTTTCAAGATGTGTTGGGAAATATTCTAGACTAAAGGGAAGCAAACATATTGTAACAAATATCGAGGAAGTTCAAATATCTTGCCAGGAAGAAAATCTAAAAACTGCGCCATCGATGTTTATTTCTTGTTGTTGTTTAAATGTAAACGTAGCTCGTTGTTTTTGTGCTTTTTTCTGAGACATACCATTCAAAATTTGGAAGAAATTTTGGAGTTGAAATTAGACACACTGCTAGCTTTCTCTCCGTGTATCCGTACTATCATAAAGTACACTGTTTCAACCAGACAGAGCACATGTTTTATCCAAACTTTGAGGAATGGAGGACTTTTTTCCGTATTAACATAGCCTTATCTAAATACAAAGCCGGCTAAAAAAAAAACCCATGACAAACCTCCCATCCCTTCCCCCGATCAAGTTATGGCTGAAAAGTCTAGGATATAGAATTTTCTAACATTGTTTACGTACTCCCACCCAAACAAACTAATCAACCTGATTGATGGAGAAAAAATTGTGTGAAAAAAAAAGTTTTCAACGACTGCTAAGGGCCAGGCTAATTCATTGGTTCATTACGTCTTCGGGTCGTAATCCAGAATCACTTGAATATACTTAAATTTAATTATCTCTTTATCCTTTAGGGGCTAATTGTCGGAGGAGAGGGGGTTGCAGGATTTTGGGGGATCCCATGGATTACAAGAGGAACAGAGGGGGTCAATCGTCTCCAACAAAGTGTATCGAGGGGACTATAAAAAAATTGACTGCCAATAAAGAGCGGGGTGAGTTTGTCATAACAACAATAGTGGGGAGATCAGTTTATCGTGACACAACCAAAATAATCAAAATAAGAGAAAGAAATTAGCCGTAAAATGATAAAAATTCTAACCGTAAAATAGCCGTAAAAGCCATCACCCTGCTGAGACTAGCCCGATTGGGCTCGTGAAATGCTGCCTTATAATAGTGAAAGTTACAGTTTTCGCTAACTTAATAAACTCATTTTGAATGAAGAATTTATATCAAACTTTTCACAGAAAATTGATCTCTTTTTAATTAACCTCCTAATCAGGGCGCACCTAATTTCCCAAGGAGGTCTCAAAGTACCCTTGTGCCCAAAAATTGCTTCCATAAGTCGTGGCACATCATTTTCTATCAGTAACGTCATAAACTCATCGGGACGATGGAAGAAAATGACAAGAGTTTGATTTAAACGGGAGGTTCGTCGAATTGGCCCTCACTATAACTTACGCAAAGTTTCGTTATCGAACACCACACTGACTACGTTCAACACAGTATGTCCAGAGCGGTTTATTTGTTTATGTTCTGTTATTGTTTTGTTTTTTTTTCTTGTGTGTGTGTGTGTGCTGCGAAAAAGACTCCTTTTTCAATTTATGTCATGCTTCTTCGCTTTTACAACTGTAAAAAGGTTTGCGATGACACAAAGAATGTCTGCTTTTGGCTGAGTTTATCGGAAAACAGATAATAAAATTTAGTTTCAGAAAGTTGAATCGACAGATTCTCAGATGTTGTATCTAAGCTGGGCAATATACACATATAGAAATAAACAACGCGTACATAACTCTACGATGTCCAATTCTCAATTTTATAACCATCTTCTTTCCTGCTCTATGTATGCAGCAGATATCCTCCATAATTCTCCACTTACCAGGCTATAAATAATGACAAGTCCCCGGCTTAGGTAATGTTACTTCTTCTTCTTCATTTTTAAAATTTATTACTATTATTATTATTTGTGACCAATCACAACAAGCTTACTATCTTATATAGCTAAGGTAAGATGCAGATAAATCGCGGTTAAAACCTTTCACAAGACGACTCAAGCAATTGATAACTTTCTGAACCAGCATCGATTTAGTCTGTGCTGCAGTAGCGGAGGTAACATTTGGGTGTGCTTGCTATGTAGTAAACGTAGTAACCGCCGCAGTTTGTCACTTTGACGGAACTTGACCAGTTGCAGCAGTTTGATTTCCAGTGGAAGCAAACTGTCCTGGTGACCTGACCATAAGCCACTGTGGGATGTGTACTATTTGGTGTTTCGGTGGACATGAAGAAAGTATTCTTGTACCTGCTGCTCCTTCAGAACGATACCAACCATGAATACCCCTGTCACAAACCGTGTTTTGATTGCCATAGGTTATCTTTCTGTCTGCCCCGCTCAGACTTTGATAGTTTTGACATTCTAAAATGGACAGAGTAGAAAATGGAAACAAACCAGGTAAAACCCTTGGTATTTGATTTAAAATAAAATATATGACTTTTGCACTATTTATTAATATAATTAAGAGATTAAAACCTCCTGGTGTAGTAATCTAACGTTTTCGACTCTGGGAAAAAAAACTTGATAAAAACGCAGCCAATATCCAGCCATCATGACAAAACAAATAGTTTAACGGCCGAATAATCACATCAAAGATTTACAACATGAATTCAATTTAAGTAGTCATGTTTTTCCTTGTTTTGACTTTCTTCGTTTACTCAAGATCTTCGGCCTTACATCCATAGGAAATATTGCTTGCCAAGCAAGGCTGGTTCGAGAATGACTAGCTTGTTCTATTCAGACAAATTTAATTTTCAAGCAATTTTCGTTACAATGTCTGACATTCACACATTCTTCATTACTACTATCTGTTAAAGTGATGGAAGTTTATCTCTGCACTTGACGGCTCGGTAAATATCCACCACAACTCTCCTCCTCAGTGGATAATTGTTAATTACCTTGGATTTCCGCTTTTGTGAAATCCAAAGATATGACATATTAACAATCCTTGAGTGCAAAAAAAAAAGCAAATAAAATACGTTGCTAGTTGATTGATTACTATCTGAGTAATAAGTTTATTACTCCCTGTTGTTTGTATCTACCTCAAGCTGGATGCCTGCGTAAAGCATAGTTACAAGAACAGAAATTTTGGGAGACCTGACTCGACTTTGTACCTGACGGGAGAGGAATGCAAGATCTTCCATCCCCTATGTAGGGCAGGTTACATGAGCACTTGAACGATCCTACCGTGTTGGTACAAGAAGCTGACTTGTGGCAATTGTGAACATAGCTGGAACATTCATCACTATCTGTTAATATAGATTGCAAATTACACATACAATATAGGACAGGAATGATAAGTGCAACGCTAGAAATGTTGCAGGCCACATACATGAGTCAATTTCATGCTTTTTTCCCGTATGGATGATAATCGTTTTAAATGGTAGCAGTCATAAACCACGCACATTTGTTTGCTAAAGCCGCATGTTCATATGCCAGTTTGGTCTGGGTGCTTAAAAATAAATTACTTGCTAAAGTTGCATGCTCAAACTGTGATGAAAAGAGTGGCCCTCAGTCGTTTTTGTACAGGCCCTGCTGTGCTTGGTCCGTAATGTCGTGACCTCGGGCCAATTTTAGCCAATACGACCCTCAGGCACGGTTAACACGAACTTAGTAAGAACTACCTCGGATATTAGTAGGATATTTTGCTGCGACGGGCTAAATAATCCAATTCGAAACCAATTTCTCTTTGGCGCGCGTCTTGATATTGAGCAACTTCTGTCTCGGAAACTTTAGGTAAAATAATGTTGTTTAGTTTGACTTAAAAAAAATAGGCATGCAAGGGTCATTTTTTGGTTGGGTGGGTTGACATGGGACAGTTTGTGTACCTAATGTTTTCATTTTCGTCACCGAAAAGAGCCCAACTTTCAAAAGACAAAAATATCGCGGAAAGACAGAAAAAAACCTAATTTATCTGAACTCACACACATATTATGTGATCTACTGTCCCTATTGTCCGATTACTTCTAAGTTAAAATGAAATGCATCGGTGCCGCGCTTCCTGTTGTCTCCTTCGCAGCCGTTGTTTGGTCTCGTCACACAACGCCCTCTATTTCCCGTTTGAGAGGGAGCGCGTCGCGTGACGAGACCAAAAAAAGGGTGGCTAAAGAGACTACGCTTATTGCCGGTCCTCCGATAGAGAGAAAATCAAAATTGTTTGTCTATAGTTAGTTACCTCAAAAATACAATTCCGCGTAATTTTACTACGAAAAGCAAACTCAAACTTCGTTGTACCTCTAATAGACCCTGACCAAAGACATTCTGCGATCTCGAATAGGTGAAGATACATTGAACAAGAGAAGGCATGATATTTCAAAGGAGGCTCCTTGATTTGTTTTTTGCCTATCTGGACTTTGCCCGCTGTGTGTGAGATGCGTGATAAAATGCAGGTTGTTTTACAAGGAATTAACACGCGAAAAAACGCGGGAGAATTGCGTGGAAAACTCATTATCAGTAGCATTTAGTTCCACATGAATGTTTTTCAGTGGGGTTGGACAATGCAGCTAGAATACGTTATAAAATGCAAGTCGTTTACAAGAAAATGACACGCAATAGAGTGGAGTCCAATGTGGCAAAATGGAATTTAATTGGTGGAATACAATTCAAGCACGTGAAAAATTGCCTAATGTTCATGCCGGGCAATGATTAGGTATGTTCTGATTAAACTTTGATTTAAACATGATACGTGATGGAATGTAAGTCGTTTGACGTATGCGTTGTGAGTAAAGGAGCGGAAAAGATAGATAAATTTAGCAATTGTATACTGTATACACAAAGGGAAACGTGAAGCAACTGATGGTGCTCAAGTCGACTCAAAGCGCACACGCATAACTCAACAGTGGAGGATCGTAAACGCGATATTTTCAATTTTCAATTAAAGTCCAGTGTTTAAGTGGCAATTTCGCTTCCGCATGACCAAAAAAAAAAGAATCGCCGCGGTCCAGCGCAAAAATTTTGACATACAAAAAGACAGTCGAAAAACAAATTAAAATAATTTGTACGATCGAGTAAAAGCTCTATCAGAAGGTAACGGACGGCTAAAAGGTATCTTTTTCGAACTACCATCTAAATGCCTCGGGTAACACATTGAAACAGATACGAGGTGCCTCGAATGCCTTTTTGTGCCTTTTTTCGCCGGGGAAAGAGTCCTTAATGCAGCTTCGCTGGTCATCCGCCGCAAACACTTCGATTTTGATCATGTGACCTAACGTCACACGTGTGTACATTAAGCAAAGTAAATATGGCGGATAGCGCTTCGAGTGAAAGCAGTTCTATTTCGGTGTCTGATAATTAGGATTATGAGGCCTCGATGGAAGGTTAACATAATAAAAGAGTTTATAAACCTTTTGATAAAATCCGGCCCTCGCGATTTGAATCGCCAGGACGAAACTAAAATAGTGCGCGAGAGTCAGAAGAGGATCACGAGCCTGTGCGCCGCGGCCGCCTTAATCAAGAAAGCGAGAATGGTGAGTAGATTTACGCTTGTAAAAAAAAGTATCTGAAAATCAGAGCCTATTAAAATGTGGGATCGATCAAGAAAAAAAAAACCCAAATGTGCAGACTCTTGAATACCGTGGGGGACGAAGTGTTCTTATGCTACGCGCACGCACCTTGTGAAGCTAAGGTTTCACTGACTAAAAATATAGAAATACACGCTTGTGGAGCTGAATTGGATGGATTATGCACGTTTCCACGCAATTGAATTGGTTTTAAGTTTTCTTGTGTTGAATTTGGCGAACGATTAAAGATTTGTCGGCTTTTACGTTAAAACATGATGCAGCAAAATAGCATTCGGTTTTCATTTTCTTTGTTTTACATTCTGTTGTTTTCCGTCCATATTGTTAATGTCAACGCGGCTAAGAGTGGTACAGTTTTGTCTAACTTAAGCATGAACAAATATATATAAATATATATGTATTTTTTTCTTTTTAAAGTTCAGGTCGTAATATGAGAAACATTACGTGCTCGTTATTTCCGTAGGACGAATGCGTCGCTCAGTTGGTTCCTTTTTCTACCAAAGCACTGCCTTTTAAACGGTGGAGGCGAGGTAGTCCCATGACGTGCTTTAACGTTTTCCTCTCTCAGGCTGTCGGCTTGTTTTATTTACGATATACGAGTGTGAGTAGTTTACTGTACACTCAGCTGACAGTCATACATTTTTGAAACGAGTAACCTTTCAGATAGGATTGGTTTTATCATGTTTGCCGTCGCAAATGAGAAACAACGCTTGAGTGTGGCATTCTTGACAGGGCATTTCTTGCGACATCCGTTTACAGCATGTTTCTGTTATTATACACTTCCATTGAAAGTTAAATAAACTTGGGCACACGAATGTGCTATAGTTGTTGTAATCATTCCTGGAGAACTCTCAGCTAGAGACGAAACGCGTCGAAAGAAATAAACAAAAAGTTACAACAGCAAGAAGTATTCCTTTGTGTTGCTCACTAGTCTCCGTTAAAAAAGGATAATTCTTGTACATATCCGGAACGTGGAAGAAGAGCTTCGTTCACGAAACCAGATGACCAGATGACGACCTCCCGTGATACGCGACAACACTTTGCGCTTAGTCACGCTCACCCCAGAACCGATGGGCCTGAGGCCACAGTGATATACATCGGACAAAATCTAAAGTCAAATACTTTTCGGCATGGATTGAAAAATATTTATTTACGTATGGGACTCGATAATGGTTACGAGGAAAAAAATATGGGAACATATTTTTTTTACAGCTGTTTGGAATGACGTGCAAATTACTTGTAGCTCTGAATAAAGACACGATCCGTCGCGTATCGATTATTCAACCTTCATTACTTCCTTTCTCACTTCGTCTTTCATAGTCTCTAATTGGTGGCCTATATAAGAATGGATCAAATCTTATTTTTTTTCGCTCGAAAATTTCGGCAGCAGTCAGACAGCGAGGGCGAAGTTGTTACTTTTAGGTCTTGACGCTTAGGTCAGGACGCTTTTCACTACCTTACACACACACGTGTGACGTATCATATCACTTGACCTGAATCGGAACGTTTTCAAAGTGGCCGTCGATTAAGCGTCAAAAACAATTTGTAAAAATGTGGTTTTGCACAATATATCGTTCATTTGCTCATTCAGGATTTTTTAACCTAAGAGGACTGTATTCGGACAGAAAAAGTGGAAAATTTTCGGCTCCCTGGGTAATAACACTCTGCCTCCCACCCCTCCCTCAGTACTGATAGACTGCATCCCACCCCTCCCTGGGCACTAATGGTGTACATTCCCCCTATAAAATGGTCCGAAAATGGTCCAAAAATAGTCCAGTCCATATTTTACACCGTGCCAGTTGTAATGGTTTTGGCTGTAAAACTCAAGGCGCAGGATGGTTTCAGACAAACCCTTCAGTGCAGTATACTCATTGTAATCGTAGGAGTTTAGCAGTCTTTTGTTTATGAGATAATTTGGATTTAGAGTTTGCACAGAGAACAAAAACTTTCGTCATCATTTAGTGATATCGATCAAGCCACTGATTCTTAGTTGACGCGACAGAGAAAGCGAAAGTTAATCAAGGCGGTGGAAAGAAATTGAACACAGTGCGAAAAAGACAACAGGTATAGGAATGAATGAATGAAAAGATGCCATTAATCCGGGCAAAAATTGTAAGGGAAGCTGCAGAGTAATAGTGTTTTGCAAGACGAGGGAAAAAATCATTGTTCCTGATTGAGAATGCCAGGTGGACCCCTGATCCCCAGACAAACCTGTCAAATAACGTTACTCTTAGATCTCGTTATGCCCTCTTCGGCGTAATTAAATCGTCCGATAAAAAAACAACCAGGCCCTGTCGATTGAAGTTTTTTTCAGTGCGTTAGCGCCCTTAGGGAGCAGACAACAGCAACAGTGAATTTTTTTTTCTGATAAATGATATTATGCCTTTAAGGATTTTACCTCGGCAGTTGCGCCCATCTCCAGTGAAACCAGGCCTACAAGAGCAGATGAATGATCCTGCGGTGTTTGCACAAGTGGCTTTCCCCTTGCTAAATTTGTGAGTATTCTCAGAGCACTCATTGATGTCTGAAATGAGATCAACATATACCGTACCGCCATGATCGTCTTCGCTTATGTTGAGGCAGAATGTGGAAGGGGGGGGAAGACAATATAAAACTTTGAAATAAGAGTAGGAATTGAGAGCTGAAAATTTTCATCCAAAAAAGAACACAGAAAAGACAGTAATGACGAGGTGATCCATTGTCAGCTAAAGAAAATGATACAAGTAAAATTAAAATTGGGACTACCAATAGCATGTGTCCACCACGGAAAGCGAAATCAAATAAATACGCCACGTCTGATACTGTATAAACTGGAAGGTCTGTTCAAAAAGGAAATCGCCTTTGGTGCAGGTAGCTATGTGGGTTTTACTTATTGAAACGGAAAAAAAACTTGCACTGATTAATTTGTATTACCTGTACAGTTGTGTCCATCCCCAGTGAATCCGGGATTGCAAGAGCAAGTAAACGATCCCTCGGTATTTGTACAAGTTGCGTTCCCCTTGCTACAGTTGCGAGTATTTTCAAAGCACTCATCAATGTCTCAAATGAGATCAACACGCCATGACGTCGTGATCGTCTTTGTTTATATTGGTGGGGGGGAGGGGGGGGGGGTTTGAATGTAAAAATTCGAAATGACAGTATGACCTGATGATACAGTTCATTTATAGTAAATGTATGATCTTGATGTTAAAAGGCAATTTGAATTCTACCAAAAACTACGAAATCCTTTGGGCTGGTTTACAAACGCGCTTGAAAGATCCCTCTGAACTTTCACAAGTAGCATTATTATTGCTACAGTTACAGGTAATGCTGGCATATTATTCGATGTCTGAATTACAGAATGACAATGAGTAAAGATACAGATTAAAGATATCTCGTCATTTCTTCAAATGGTGTTGTCCTTGTTTCATTTATCGGTATTTCCAGCATATTCGAGAATGGAAAGAGAAGGCGATTCGAGGGAGAAAGGCTTCATAGATATTATAAAAAAATACAACATTGCGAGCTCATCCATTTTTGATGGTATAGGAAAATTAAAATCAGGAATCTGGGGCCGGTCTGCTACCAAAGAGAGAATTTCAGATACCCTGCCTTTGTCGGTTTCTCCCGATATGCTAAACCATCGTGCCATAAACTAATTCAGTAAGCATATTTCTAAACCTTCAATTACATCATTCAATCGTCTTGCAACATTGCCCGGACTGCTGCTGAGGCGCCTTAAGAGAGCATATAACGATAACGAGGAACTTCATTTGTTAAATGAGACAAGCTGTGGAAGATCTTACCATGGCAGATGTATCCATCTGCGGTAAATTCAGGATTACAAGAACAGTTGTGTATATCGTCAGCACATTCATCAATGTCTGAAATGTAATCGACAGAGCATACTTGTGATCATGATCACGAATACTAAAGGTGATGGAAAAAAGGATGAAAGAGAAATCCAGGTTACCATACATATTGACTCTGTTTTGGCTAGTTTTGAAAGCTTTTGGCGCTTACACGACAGGGCATCATGCACTGAGATCTGTTCAGTACCTGTGAAATTGTGTCCATCACCGCTAAATTCTGGTTTACAATGCACCTGAATGATCCCTTTGTATTTACAAGTGGCAGTTAAATGGTTGCAGAGGCGGCTATTTTGAGAACACTCGTCAATTTTTGAAATTAAATAAGCTGTCCATGTCAGTTATAACGATAAAATACAACAACTTAAAGGCATTAGCATTCTCGTTAAAATTGTGGGAATTTAGAGCACACTCATCGATGTCTGAAATAAAATCAATAGATCGTACCCATGATCGTTATCATCACCACCAAGGAGGGGAGAGTGGGGCAGAGGGCTAATGGGCTGAGCAGAACCGACTCTACTGCGTGTTATTCCAGTTCTACAGGAAGAAAAATATGTGATTATCAAATGACAATCATATGATTAGATGGATGATAACTTAGATGTGATAATCGGAATACATTGTGATTATGATTATAAAACGTGTGTTTTACCAGAGGTCAATTAGGACGAGGCATTCCGCTCTAAGTAATGTTCATTACCTTTGCAATTATGTATATCCCCGCTGAATCCATGTTTACAAACGCACTTGAATGATCCTTCGGTATTTAAACATATGACGTTTTCATTGCTGCACTTGTGGGTATTTGTTTCACACTCGTTGATGTGTAAAATATAATCAATAGACCTCTGGTCAAGATACTGAAAAACAGAGGTTGCAGAAAGGGGAGGCGGCAGATATGATGTGTTTCGCTATTTGTCGGCATTGGCGAGTGAAGAAGCAAGTGAGCAATAAAACGAGGGGCTGCGGAGAGGAAAAATTTTCTCCCACTTTTTCCGGCACTGAATGCCTAGCCTGGGGTGAGTCTTCAACTTCAAAGAGACGGGATGGTCTTTGAAATAAAGAAAGAGACATCCAAAACTTAAGGAAGGTGGCTTGAATTCTTTGCTGCTGTTGCTGTTGCTTTGCTGTAAACAAGACGCCTGACCAAAGTTGAGAAAAAGAGCGTGAAAATTGGACTTGTGCTCCCATCCTTCTTTTCACCCACTGTGGGTCATATTGAGTAAGTGTCATAAGTACGACTGATTCTGAATCTTGAACCTTCTGAAGAAATAGACCACGCAAGTGCTCCCTTTTTCACCGTCGATTGGCAATCGTGGCCGGTGAATGCAGACGCACATAAACATCGTTCTCTTGTAAACCCCGACTGGCAGGTGCCGTTGTTCTGGCATGAAGCTTGAGCGCAAAAATTCTTCAACAAAAACAAATAAATAATCTGGCGTTTTCCAGACATGAATAAAAAGAGTACCCCTGCAGCACTCACGAATTTCTAAAAGAGAGTAGTGCAATTGACATTTATCAACTGGTATCTTAGTTCCGTGGTATACATGGTTCGCTGCTTTCACCAGATCGTTATCATACCTTTCCTCAGAAAACTGCCATTAATGTTTAATGTTATGATATAGGTAGGGCATTTCAATCACGAACTTCCAACTTTTGTACATTATTTCAAATCACAATTTTTTATCAAAGTTATTATAACAAAGTGCGCGTTGAAAGTCCTATTAAATCCTAACAAGCCATCATGTTTTCTCGACATAGGCATGGCCGAGCAAACATAACACGAGGTTTGCAATTCACCTCAGCAGGTACCCATCTACCCTATCCGAGTAGTTTCAAAACTCTCAAGATTCATTTCTTGTTCCATTCCGATCGAGATACAATTTTTGAAGCTCAAGATGAATACTAAATATGCTAGATAATACTTGCTAAAAAGAAAAAAAACCTTGAGCTCCGTCAGCCACGAAAATACCTTTGGAGTCAACGGTGTTTTATTCCCAAACGATGTTAGAATTATGGCTCTCAAAAAGGAAACTGAGCTTTCTGACTTCAAGTGAAGCTTTGACACTTTTGAAACTCTTCTTTGGCACATTAAGTATTGTTTGAGTTGACAAGTCCCAAAAGTGTTTTTGAATTACATAAATCAAACAGTTTTCAGAATTTCAAATTTTAAACACAAAGCCACACATTCTGGCTATGAATTCTAGCAAAAATAAAAAAAATTCCAGCATGCTGAATTAATTACGCGGGTATCGTAAATGCAGGGAATTCGTTCGTTTTCCGCTTCTAAGCAGCAAATTCAGCACTTCTTTGAATTAAGCTTTTGTCTCTAAATATTTATTGATCGTTTTCGCCTTGCCTTTTATCGATAGTTTTCTGGTAATAAGCGATTACCGTGTAAACCCGACTCAATTATACTAACAATTTATCTTCGTGCGCAAGTTGTATCCGCTACGTTATAAATAATTGGTTCGTGCTCTAAGCGAGTAAATATCGTGTTATGGATCTACAGAGGAAGTTTAGAGAGCACTCGAGAAGCTACAATTGCTCTTGGCTTTACCTCAAGCAACTCATTTCTTTCGTGCTCTGCAAACTTCGTTCGTGCATCCATTTCACGACATGCACGCGCTAAGCACAAACCATGCTTAATTTTACATTGCGATTTATATTTTTTTTTGCTCTGTTTTATTTTTCCATCATTCATATCAATCAGCCACCTGTCGAGTGAGAAGTTTTAATATGCCCGCTTATTCGCAGTCAGTACTTCGTTTGCATTATTGAAAACATAACTGCTTTCCTTGCATTTCAATAATTTAACTTACTCATCAGGCTTCAAATATCGCACAATACAAAACAAAGGAGGAGTGCTATAACGAGGAAAATGAGTATCGAATTCAGAGTTCTAAAATGCTACAAGAAAAACGTTTTGGTCTATTTTAAACACATGTCTGGATTATATTTTCAAGGTGGAAAACTTTTATATATATATATATGTGTGTGTGTGTGTGTCAACTAAATAGGAAACCAGCGAATAATTATGTACCCAAAGAAGATACTTATTCCACAAGAGAATGTAAAAATAAGGGAATAAAAAACGGCTTTTCATAACGATAGGATCCTTATAGCGAAAACTTGTCATTAATTTTAGATGACCTTAATAGAACTACTTTAGCTTATTTTTATATGAGTGTTTCAAAAGAATACAAGACCGTAAGGAGCGAAAAATATTATTAGTTACGAAATTGAGTGAGAGGATTGTTCAGTCAGACCGTAAAATACTTTGCCAAAATACGTTCGCATGTAGTGAAAAAGAATCGAGAATATTTTTGAATGAATGAAAGATAACAACGCATTGATTTGGATTGTGAATTATGTAGCCATTTTATTAGTTTAGGCCCCTACATGTATATGCGAGAATTTAAGCATTTCAGTCCTTGAGAATTCGCGTTCCCTTTTTAAATCTAGTAAATTGTATGGCTGAAATTTTAGAGGAGAAATACAAAAATTTCTTATCCACAAATGAAAGATTTGAAACCTACCATCTGGGCAGGATAGAACTTTTCCGTGGGAGAAGACCACAGAGGTGAAGAACAAGTGGAGGAAAAACTCCCATGTTCTCAAAATCCAGCCGAAAAGAAATCCTTTCGATGTTTTGTAGCTGTCGAGAAAATCGAGAAGTTTAACAGTGGTTTGTTGACTGAGATGTACCAGTAATTTAACGCTAAACTTCCTTGAAACGTGATAGCCAATCATATTCTGATATGTGAAAGATGTCTAACAGCCCGCCACAGAGACGCCATTGGATTAAATGATGTGTACTAAAATAGATAACTTTGTTAATTTTCTCCTCACGCAGTTATTTCCATCATTCACTTGCTATTCTAAGGGATCCTTCTTGTATACGTTTCAATTATAGGCAGCATAAAAAGAAAAAAAAAGATGATAGTGAAACTCAGTAAAGATGCAAGCGCACGAAGAAAAAGCCTACAAATCTGTTTTCTTAAGATTTCAAGTTGCTAACTCTGGGGTCATATTCTGACCAACTTTTCAAGGAGACTTTAAGGTGCATTTTTAGAAAACATGGCTTCAATGAAGCTATGTGGTTCAGTGCCGCTCTCGCTAAGAGAGTGCCTCTCGAATTCCCGTCGGGAAAAAAGTTTCCCTTTTTTTTAGGCATAAAAGAATGGTTTAAGACATGTGTCTCTGAAATAGTTAAGTTACTCTCTAATTCTCTTTTAAACTTGATTTTTTTTGGCTAAACCCCTGAGACTGCAATAATATAGCTCACGGAATTCTCTCTTGCTTCAAGTTGCGGGATTTATTCAGTCAGAGTATAAATAAAATATGGAAACTTTACATAAAATCTTAGCCATAACAGCGCGATCAGAGCTTCGAACACAATTTGCCTACCAAAAATCTAACAACGTGTACGAAAGAATTCTTAAAATGTAGGCGTAAATCGGGCTGGAAAAGAATATCAGTGAAAAGTTTTTTACTCCAATGAGGTCACTGATAGCAACATCTTGAAACAACGCAAATCAATGCGTTTCCTCCAATGCGCTAGTGTCAGAGTTCATTTGCAAAATTATGAAAATCAACCAAGACATGTTTTTGGCCGTTTAAACTTCTTTCATTTACCTCCTACATAAAGGGTTTTAAGTTTTAAAACAATTGGAAGCGAAAAGATCCTTGGTTCTCCTGAATCGTTGCATAAACTTTATCACTGGCAGCGTTTGCATGACTTACTAAGTAGGCGGTCATGAACAAGCGCCTCTTCGATGAGTTTAATGGTATCAGGTTACAAACCACACACAAAGTGGAAAGTTTAAAATTAGCGAATAGAATTTAGCATTCTCGTCGTTATAGACATAATCCGTCTCTAAAAAGGACACGCAAATATGTTAAAATATGTAACAGTGTGTTTTAGTAAACAACACGTATACACTCTGCAAGGTTATTCTTCTTTTTTAATCGATTTAAACCTTAACAGAAAATCTCCCAGGTTTTATTTATAGTTGGTATAAATCAGTCAATCAAACAGTTCTTTGAAAAGCTACCTGAGGGGCCTAAAGGTGTGAAACTGGGAAGTAATTTTCCTTTTTCCTTTTTTTTTCTGAATAAAAGGATTTGAGGTGATAAGGTTTGAAGCCTGAAACAAAAATGAAAACAGGAACTAGACTGGAAGTTATATGAACTGATCCAATTACTACTATGACTACTGTTTTCTGCTATGGAAAGAATGTGTTTAAGAAAACCAAATATGGTATTCAACTAGTTTTGCACTCAGCCCAGCCATTCATTAATTTGCACAGCACCGTCATCGTTTATGTTCCCACCAGACAAACCTGAACAGTCTTCACCACTACAGTACGAGCCCCCTCCACCTCCGGCCTGGTGCTTATGAGTACCACTGCCTCCCCCAGAAGATCCACCACCTCCGCCTGATGCCCCATTATCTTCTGAACCTCCTTCCCCGCCTCCAAACCCACCAACTGCTCCTGGTGCAGGGCCCCCATTATTACCGCTATTCATATTTCCGGCTTGACCTCCGATCCAGCCTTGAGCACGTGATCCACCTCTTTCCCCATGGGAGGAGCCTAGTCGGGTACAACCTTGACCAAACCAACCTGCACCTACTCCTCCATGGTAGCTGGCGCCCTCGCTATTGCATTCACCTGGCCGCCCATCTGTACCTCCATTACGAACTTGTGACGAATCTTTCCCCTCACTACTGGTGCCACTTGATCCCGCCTGACCATCCACACCATTATACCCACCCGACGCACCCCCTCCTCCTCCGGCAGCCAGCAACAGAACATTATCTGTAGTGTAAACAAAACTTCCTCCCCCTCCTCCAGTGCCAGCATTGTCCTCCACGGATTTTCGAAGTTGAGCTGCGGTCTGGCTTGTACTTTGTCCGCCTTCAACCTCAACCGAATCCCCTCCTCTTTGTCCCACCACAATATTTAACACTGTTCCATTATTCAGTCTGAACTTGCCTTCTATAAACGCTCCCTTTCCACCATTGTATGTTCCTGGAAGGTATCCATAATTGTATGAATGTGTTCCTCCCCGAGCTCCCCAGGCTTTGATGAGATAGCGCGTGGTCCGCGGAACAGTGAACGTCTGTATACTGCCAAAGCGTCTTCTTCTTCCACCGGCTCCAAATCCAGCTAGCAACAGAAATAAAAAGAAACTAGATCGTCTACTATACATGACAAAAAAAAACAATGAAAAATGTAAATTGACATCAAAATGTTAAAAAGTAATAAGTTTAACAGTTGGCAAGTCAGTCAGTCAAGTAATTATTCCTTCTGTCTGTTTTCCTCTTTGTCTGGAAAGATGAGCCCTCCCTCACAATCCAAACATTCTTACGTTCACAAGTTTGTCCATTTCCAAAAAATCCAATTTTGCAGGCACAACGATAAGAGCCAGGGGTGTTATGACAAACGGCGTTGGTATCACACGAAAATGGGGAAGCGTCACATTCGTCGTCATCTGTGAAAAAAGAAGATATCAGGATTCAGGATTCTAAGACTATTTTAGGAAATTATAACAAGGGCTCACTTCCTCATAGGAAGGCGAATTTTTTTTTGCTTCCTTTTGTGACAAATTTTGTAACTTTCAAAGGAAGATCGTAAATATGAGTCAATTTTTCCCCATGGCAAATGAATAAAGTGGGTAAGTTTCTAAAGAAACTGTGGTGCTGCTTCGGTGGGAGAGTATAACAGGTAATTTAGTATTAACAACTAAGTTGAAAACGTAAATTAGCCACCGTAATGGGTAAAAAAGCTGACGTTGCGAGCGTTATCCCTTTGTCAGAGCGATTGGAAGGGCTAACGAAGGGCTAACGCTCGAAATGTCAGCTTTTTTACCCTTTACGGTGGCTAATTTACATTTTCAACTTAGTTGTTAACACTAAATTACATGTTTTCCCATGACATTGCGTTCAGTAGTTTTAGAATCACGACGAGTAGCCGTGTATCCATGTAAAGAACTCAAGTGTGACAATCTGTTATGAGATTCAAATCCAGTCAGCGATACGAATAGAGTCTCTAAGATTGTTTACCTGTGCATGTAATTCCATTTCCAGTAAAACCAGTTTTACAGGAACTGCGATAAGAGCCGAAAGTGTTCCGGCATTCGGCATTGACATTACTACACATCCCAATAGAATATACGGCTGACTTTTATTAGTTTGCAGGAACAGCGATAAGAGCCGAAAGTGTTCCGGCATTCGGCATTGACATTACTACACATCCCAATAGAAGCTCTGCACTCGTCAAAGTCTTGGAGAGTCATAATAGTAGAAATGATAATGATAATGATGATAGTACGGATAAAATTGAGAATAAAACAGCTTAGACAGAGGGTATTATAAAAATCATCAATTGTACCTTACCTATTGACCGCATCGCTTCTTAAAATACCAAAATAGCAAAAAGTTTACGATAGTGATAACAATAGCGGTAACGAAGATGACGGTGCCCGTGATAAAATGTCTCTTTTTTGGGCCATTTACTCCTACCACGATGCAGTTAATTACATCCTAAATAGTGATCAAATCGAATGAAAACAGAGGAGTAACTCTTAATTTTTTCGTGTTGTAGAAATGTCGAATGCCATTTGATGGCGTTAGCGAACTAAAAGTTTTCCAAGATTGCAAAGATATATTGCTTGAGAAATGATTTTAACCAAGAAAAAAAATTGATTGTGCTGTAAATTGGTTAAAGTTTTCTTAGCTCAAATTCAAAGTTTCGGCCAAGTGATAAATGTTCATACACTCCCTACGAGAACCAGATTCCTAGTATTCTTGGAACTTCTGAGAATCCCTAAGAATAAGAATTCTTAAGAACAAACTTTGCAGTGGGCCTCGAGTATTTTGCTTGGAGTTTGCAGGTAGACTTGAAATTCCAGCAATTTCAAGCCAAACTTTATCTTAGCTCTCACATAGGCCCGTAATTCTGGTTTTTCAAAGTAAGCTTCATAACGTACCTCGGCCCAAATAATATCTTTGAGTGTCAGAAATTAAATTTGTGGGACTGTTTTCCCGGGTTCCATTATTCAATTCACATATGTTCTGGAAAAAGACGTAATTGACACTTTCACAGTGCGAGTCGAGTTTGCAAGCCTGCCAACACTCAATGGGGGAGATCGTCTTTAATTTCCTGAAAGTGTGTCCAATTAACATCCTTTGGAAGGTTGAGGAGTATTCGCTTCGACATTGTCCTGCATCGCCTCCTTGAAACAGCTGGCTAAACGCCGAAACAGTGATGAAACAGAAATAGCTCAGTAACATCAGTGCTTGTTTGCACAGCCCTAATAGACAAAAGCAAATTTGGTTAAAAAGAGAAGACGGTTATCCTTATGGACTCGAAGCGAATTCTACAATACTAAAATTTTGAGCACTGGATTCACTGGATAGAAATTAGTGTAAAATATCTCGCCAGCACCTGCACAAAACAATGTCGGAAGTTCCAGCTTATTTTAGAAGTGTTCGATATTGCCAAATAGGAAGACCATTCATCCATTTTTTTTCTCCATATCAGTGGATTAGTTACGTGACAGATGGTTGCGAAATAATTGAGAATTTAAGCGCCGACAAGGGAGGATAAACAATCTCTCTTGGCTTCGGATAATCTTGAAATAGTGGCCAGATTCTCAAGGTATTACATAACAGTAATTACCTGCCAGAAGCTTACACATTTTGCTTTCACCTAATTACTGAGTGCAAAGTCGTCATAGGGAACATTTTCTTTCCAATCTGTAATTGGATCATGATATTAAGGAAACCTTAAAGTGAATTTGTAAAAATAAAAAAGGGAAATCAAATTAAACAAAAATAAACACGAAATACAAACAAAACAAAACAGTTAGAAGCCTCACTCTCTTAATTGGCCCACTGTCATATATATTGTTTGTATGTGTTATGCCCGTCAGGACTTCCAACTTGAAACAAGCGTGGTCCACATCGGTTGTAGCATTTTCAATTTTCCCTATATTATCCGCAAATAATATAATAATATAATAATATAACTAGACAAACCGTCAATTAAATATGATACATTACACCCCACTAAGATTCTGAGAATAAGGAGCAGAAAAAAAAATAATGTGGCATTGCAAATTTCCTAATCACTTTCTTTCTCACCTTCGAGAAAACTTTTAATACCAACAACACAAATCTAATTGATTCTTTTCCTTATTTTTCCTTTTTTTTTTTTTTTTTTTGTTTTATCTATTTATTTATTTATTTTAATACGGGCCTAATCATGACCAATCACAGAGCGTTTACTACCTGTAAGAGTACTAAAGTATAATACACATAGATGTAACCAATTTTTAAAACGATTACACAAAATTCACAATTTTTCCGACCAGCATCGATTGAGTCTATTCCAGAAGCGGAGGTGACACCAGGGTGTGCCATTTACGTGGTAAACATAATAACCGTCGCAGTTTATCACTTTGACGGTAATTGATTTGTAGCAGCAGTCTGAATGCCAGTGGAAAAAACTGTCCTGGTGACCTGACCATCAGCTTGTGTGGGATGCGCACCACTTAGCCAGCCAGGTAAGTGAGAACTGCATCGGTGTGTTGGAGAGCATGAGGTAGGCATTCTTGTCCCCACTGCTCCTTCAAAACGATACCAACCCTTTGGTCCGTTGTCGCAAACCGTGTTTTGTTTGCTGTAGGTTACCTTTCTGTCTTTCCCAGTCTGACTCTGGTCATTTTGACATTCTAAAAAAATTTGAAAATATAAAGATTCATGAGAGGAGAAATGAAAAAGAATTAAAGACAGACAGAATCAACACAAAAAGCAAAAACAAAAACAAAACAAGAAAGCTGAAAAGAGAAGTCTCGAAATGAAATGTTGGCCATATCCTCAATATTTGCTTGAAAATCTGTTATTTAGTACATTACGTATATCTAATTCTATGGTGTAACAGTTTCAATGGTTGTCATTCAGGAATACACGTAGACAAAACAATTATGTTCTCAGCGATCTTGACAATACAAGCGAAGCCAATTACTGATCATTTTATGACGAATGGATAGCACCAAAAAATTACACTTCTAATCATAACTATAACAAAATTCTTGAGCGTGATTGTTTATCACCAGCCCGATTTGAGCACTTGTAATTGGACAGTGTACTAGGGCAGTGAAAGAGACAGTTAATACGCTATGCCTGTGTAGGTGGATAGAACGCGTCATAAGCGCGCTGCTGTCTCGCATTTCGCTGAGTTAGCTGTTGTTGTTGGTTTTTTTTTTGTCTTTTTTTATGGAAAAAATATAACCGATGTCTAGTTTCTTTTTCAAATGGTATCTTAGTTTTGATTAATTGGTAAGAAGACTTCGTGTCGTCCAGTTTTGGAAATTACTGATATAATTGCAGACCGAATTGTATTCCACTCGCTCCTATTATCATTACAAATCCACGAAATTCGCTACGCTTTTCTTTCTCTTCATTTCCTTTTATCGATAAAAGATTTGTTTTCTTTGATATTAAAGTGGAAAACCTATGCAGAGTAGCCAAGAACGCAGAATTTGCTTCAACTTGCTTTCGACGCTTTGCCTGTACAGACGGTCACATTGAAATTCCTTGGTGCAAGCAAAGGTAATATATCGGTTTTTTCTAGGTGCTATTCATTTTTCACTCAGTCAAGTTAGCATATCTGCGCTGCTCAAATTAATCAGACACCGATAGTCAGTATGAAAGAGTAGCTATAAAAACAGCAGCAGGATTGAGGTGCAGTACTTACATAGAAAAGACTCGAATTGTCTTCCTACCTGATGGGAGATTACTGGATCTTCCATCCCCTTCGAATTCGTGCGGAAGGTTACGTGAGCAGCCAAAGGATCCAAGAGTGTTGGTCCATGAGGCTGAAACGTGGCAATTATGTACACCACTGGCACATTTATTTATTAATATCTGTTGGCATAGATGAGAAAGTTGATACACATGATACAATGAAGAGGAACAGTAAGGGCCTGTTTATATGGAGGTGGGCGCAATCAGGTCGGTGAGGTAACTGTCATAGGCGAAGTAATCGGCCTTTCCATGTAATCCTATATTAATTTTTTTATCTTTACTTGATAGGTGGGGTTACCCACCAAGGCGGATTCCCAGTGTGCTAAGTAGGGTAACTCTGGCAGTCAGGGTCGTAATTAGCCATGTAATCATTTCAAAGTGGAGTAAACAGCGCGGGCGGGGTCACTTTTATGTTACATTTGCAATCGCGCTGACAACCTCTAAAAACTTCACCCCGGAATCCCGAGGTTGTAAGATTGTATGTAAACGAATATGGCTGAGCGGGTTGCATCTTTTACATGGGGTTCCCCAACTCCATTTAAACAGGCCCTAAGAGTAGTTCTGGAATTGTCACATGCTTCAATTCTAAAATTGTAAGTGGCCTTGCCTGAGGAAAGATTAGACATCTTAGTTGATTTTCGAATTGATCATATGAGGTGGTAGTGCTTCCAATGAAAACTGT